GATTGTGGTAAAAAATATGTAACATAAATTTTACCCTTTTAACCATATTTAAATGCCATGAGCTCAGTGACATCAAGGACATTCATGCTGCTATGTAACCACCACTGCAACCATCTCGGGAACTTTTCTTTATCTTCCTAATCTGAATTTGCATACATATGTTGAATGGTTTAACATCGAATCTCAATTCTCCTTTCTTTATCTTCTGGCAACGACCATTCTGCTTTTTCTCTCTATGAATTTGACTATTCTAAGTACATGATATAAATGGAGTTATGTAGTATTTGTCTTTTTGTGACTACTTTATTTCACCTAGTGTAATATCTTCAGGTTTAATCCATATTGTGTCATTTGTCAGAATTTTCTTCCTTTTTAAGATGAGTAATATTCCATTGCACATTTATACCACATTGTTGCTTAGCTATTTATCTCTTGATGGACAGTTAGGTTGCTTCTACCTTTTGGCTATTGTGAATAATGTTGCTATGAACATGGGTGTACAGATATCTGTTTGAATCCCTTCTTTTGATTCTTTTGAATATATACCCAGAAGTATAATAACTAGTAGTTTAGTTTGTTTGTTTTTGAGAAATCACCATACCATTTTCCATGGTGGTTGTACTATTTATGTTCTCACCAGCTGTACAATTTTATGTTCCCAAATTGGATAGAGTTCCAATTTCTCCTTATTTTCTGTAATGCTGGTTTTCTTTTTCTTTATAGTCTAATGGATGTGAATTGGTATCCCATGGTGGTTTTGATTTGTATTTTCCTCATTTCCTTAATGATTAGTCATGTTGAACATCCTTTCATGTCCTTATTGGCCCTCTGTATATTTTCTTTGGAGAAATGTCTCTTTAAGTCCTTTGCTCATTTTAAATCAAGCTTTTAGGACTTCTTTATATATTCTAGTCATTAGTCCTTTCTCATATATAAAATTTGAAAATATATTCTCCCTTTTGCTAAATTGCCTTTTTATTTTATTGATAGTGTCTTTTGATGCACAAAACTTTTTTTTCAATGTTGATGAAGTCAGTTTAACAAATTTTTCTATTTTTGCTTCCTGTCCATTTAGTGTCATAGCCAAGAAATCATTCCCAAGTCCAATGTCATAAAGCTTCCCTCCATCTTTTCTTCTAAGAATTTTATAGTTTTAACACTTGTGTTTATGGCTTTGATCCATTTTGAGTTAATTTTTGTGTATAGTGTAAGAGCCAACTTCATTATTTTGCATGTGGATATTCAGTTTTCCCAATACCTTTTACTGAAAAAAAAAATTGTCTTTTCCCAGTTAAATTGGTGCTCTTGTTGAAAATAACTTGGCCATATACATGAAGGTTTTTTTCTGGGACCTCTCCTCTATTCCATTGATCTATATATGTATTTTTATGTTGAGACTACACTGTTTTGATCATTGTAGCTTAGTATTAAGTCTGAAATCAAGAATTGTGAGACCTACAGCTTTGTTCTTTTCTTAAGATTGTTTTGGCTTTTGGAGCATTTCTTGGGATTCCATACTAATTTTAGTATGGATTTTTCTGTTTCTGCAAAAAATGTTAACATTTTGATAAAAAATTGCATTGAATCTGTAGATCACTTTAGAAAACACTGACATTTTATTAATAATATTAAGTCTCACAATCTGTAAATACTAAATGTCTTTCCATTTATTTGTGTTTTTTGTTTCTTTCAGTGGTGGTTTATAGTTCTCTGTGTGTAAGTCTTTTCCTTCCTTGGATGTTTATTTCTTGATGCTATTGTAAATAAGATTGTTTCATTAATTTCCTTTTCAAGATGATTTTGTTAGTGTAGAGAAATGCAACTAATTTTTATACGTTGAATTCCCATCCTGCAACTTTGCTGAATTTGTTTTAGTTCTAACAGTGGAATCTTTAGTGTTTTCTATTCACAATATCATACCATCTTCAAACAGACATAATTTTACTCCTTTTCCAACTTGGATGCATAGGTTCTATTTTTTTTTTTTTTTGAGTTTTAAAAAAGATAAAATGAGATTCAAAAGTGTTAAGTGAGGGGTACCTGGGTGGCTCAGAGGCTTAAGCCTCTGCCTTTGGCTCAGATCATGATCTCAGGGTCTCAGGGTCCTGGGATAGAGCCTCGCATGGGGCTCTCTGCTCAGTGGGGAGCCTGCTTCCCCCTCTGCCTCTGTCTGCCTTTCTGCATACTTGTGATCTCTCTCTCTCTCTCTCTCTCTCTCTGCGTCAAATTCATAAATAAAATCTTTTAAAAAAAAGTGTTAAGTGATTTGTCTGAGACCACCCACCAACAGGCGTCAGAGTTCCAGGTGGCCCTGGAGATGGAGTATCTTGCACTACACTAAACTGTCCTCTACCATCACCACCCCCTGGTCATGTCATTATAACAGCTGAAACAAGGGGGCAGGCCCTCTCTCAGCTGGCTTCTTGCTGTGGATGTACTGTGAGTCCCTCTTGTCACCTTACCTTTTTGACTTCAGCTGTGCATCTGACTCAAAAATTTTCAAGGTCCCTGAGAATTATTACAAAAGCACCATGAAATTTATTTGACTTCAAATACATTTGAGAGAGTAGACAAATTCACAGCTCTGTGAATAATGAGGCTCAACTGTATATGCATCTGATTTGAAAAAAAAAAAAAAGTGGATGTTTAATTTTTAAAAATCCATTTGGCTAATAGCATCACACTGATACACTCATTTTTTAAAAACAAATATTCACTAAATTCGTATATGAATCAGGAGGCCTGCTAGGTTTCAGGGAGATAGAAATGAAGATATTATGGCTTCTCATCTCTGGCAGTTCATGATTTAATATGGGAGAAAATTATATTTAAAGTAATCACACAGTGCTATGAGTACACACTTCAGTTGGAATAATTTCAGTTAAGGGGTTCCTGGGTGATTCAGTCAGTTAAGACTCTGCCTTCAGCTCAGGTCATGATGCCAGGGTTCTGGTATTGAGCCCTGCTTTGGACCCTCAGCTTAGCAGGGAGTCTGCTTCTCCCTCTCCCCTGTGCTGTCTCTTGTTCCCTCTCAAATAAATAAGTGGAATATTTATATAAAAAAGAATAATTTCATATAAGAAACTTAAAACCCAACTCAAGTGAATTTGAGCCATAAAGGAATATATTGCTTTACATCATTGAAAACATCCTGAGACTGTTTCGTTTTAAAAGTATGCCTTACTCATCTACCTGCCTCCTTTTCTTGTTATTTGTTTACCTCTGCCTGCTATTGTATCTCTGCTCAGTCCTCAGGATACTTTCATCTTCAGTAGCAAAGTTTCTAGGGCATTTAAATCCTCCCATCTGTACACCAAATGGTTTAAAGCAAGAATATGAAAGATTTCTTCTCACCCTTTGAACTGAAACAGTCTTAAGCTACAAAATGATGACTTCATCACAACAATAACTGTGACCAGAGTATTGACATAGCTCTGAATAATATACAAATTATTATTTGCATATTAATCCATCCCAGGAGATGAAGAAAGGATTGTTCACACCCAACACAGTAGTATAACATATTGTATCATGTTGGAGTTATGCTAAGTGCAACCACCAAGTGCACACTAGTGCTACAATATAGAAGAGGTATAATGTAATTTGAAAGGACAGAGGAGTACAAATAATTGTGCTTTGAAAACTTTACATTTTTCATATAAAAATGTTGAGGTCATAGTAAGGATGTCACCTGCTGGGTTAATCCTCTCAAATGGAAACAAAGAAAGAAACTGCACATAAGAAGAAACATAATGATGGCCATTGTTGAACTTGTATTATTAGGACATTATGTGAAAATAAAATAATTAAAACCTTCACGCTCTATCCAGGCCTGTCTATAAAGGTAGTAGAAACATTGAAGACATTTAAAATGTTCACATTAAATATTTTGTTCTAGTCTAGCTTTGATGTGTTTCTTATTAAGTTCAGATGACATATTAAGGACCATGTACTGTATGTCTGTGAAATGCAGTGTGCATGTTAGGATGATTTGTAAGAAAGGGCATGAGAATATGCCTAATATGTTGCCAAATCTATCTCATTCAGCCATTCATCTTGTTGCCTGGATGAAATAGAGATAGATTGAAAGGTGATGAAAACTAATATATTTAAAGGAGTTGTAAAAATTTAAACAGAATGAATAGGGACAATATAACGGCATAATCATGAAATATAATTAGGTTTTAGTAGACTATTTCTGGATAGTAAGAACATTATAGACTAATATAAGCCTAATAGAACTTTTTATTTCATTCTTTTTAGTTCCTTTTCTTTATTGAGTTCACAATCAAATAGGCAACTAGTTTTTTCTTTTATTAACTAATGAATCCATTTGGCATTTTATACTGCTGTTATCTATCCCAAGATTAAGAAATAGGATGTTGCTTTAAAACAAGAAAATTTTAACTAGTAGGCAATCTGTAGAGGCAGTTTTAAAACCAAAGTAATAGGGGTAGTAGATGATGTTCATTTACTGTTGCATATGATGTAACAATACCTTGTCTTTTCTCAGGATATTTTTTAAGACTACTAACAGACCAAGAGCAAATGTTTAAACATAAAATTAAAAAGAAAAAAAAAACCTTAATTGATGAAACTTTATTGAAATCAGTAGTTCAGTTGCAAAATCACAGTAAAAATGGAATTTGTTGTAATATTATAATTTTGATTTTTTCAAATATTTTATTTGGAAAATTTTCAGATATAAAAGTAGAAAATTACTCTGAACACTCATATATTCATTACGTAGAGTCAACCATTAACAGTTCACTAGACTTGCTTTGTACGCATATCTATCCATTTATCTATCCCTATTTCCATCATTTTTTTTTTGAGGAATTTCAAAGTAAGTTATAGGTGTCCGTAAAGGCTACCCTGAAGATTTCAGCTTATATGTCATTGATTATTTTTTATACTATTTGTTTAAAATTATTTCTAGGGAAAATTTACACACAATAGAAATGCATAAATATTAAGTGTACCATTTCATATGTTTTAACAAATGAATACACCTATCCAAAGCAAACCCCTATCAAGGTAGAGAATTATTATGTTATATTATTATATTATATATTATATTATATTATATTATATTGTATTATTAAGCCAGAGCACTCATTCGTGCTCCTTCCGTAAAACCAGTGAACAGTAAAAGTACATGGGATGAAGTCCAGCTAGACACAGGCCTCCAGGTGTCCTCTCCCAGTGAAGGTACAGGGATGTGCTTCATTGTCCCAGCAAGGATGTATGCTAACACATGGGAATCCGTGTTACCAGTCAGGTAAGCTCACCCAAGCCTTAGTGTCCAAGAATTGTATAAGGGATCAGTCATGATGTCATGAAGTAAGCATGAAAGCACAAAGCACCTGCATGACGAATTTCAGTTATTCAAACTCCAGGCCCCCAGAGCAAATACATGTATTTACGATATATCACATTGGGAGAGTAAATAAATCATTTAATCAGTTTTTGTGCCACATAGCTCATGGTGTCAGACAAACAAAAATGCTTATGTCTGGATGTCAGATTCTATTCTATTTCTCTATTTGTAGGTCTTTTTTTTTTTAAGATTTTATTTATTTATTTGAAAGACAGAGATCACAAGGAGGCAGAGAGGCAGGCAGAGAGTGGGGGGAAGCAGGTTCCCCGCTAAGCAGAGAGCCCGATGTGGGGCTCGATCCTAGGACTCTGGGATCATGACCTGAGCTGAAGGCAGAAGCTTTAACCCACTGAGCCACCCAAGCACCCCTCTATTTGTCAGTCTTTTCTTAATGCCAATACTACACTGTGTTGAGTCCTGAAGCTTTACAGTAAGCCTTGAAATCAATTATTTTTTAACTTTTTAAAATTTAAATTCAGTAGTAAACACATAGCCTATCATTAGTTTCAGATGTAGAGTTCAGAAATTCATCAGTTGCATATAATACCCAGTCCTCATTACATCATGTGTCCTCCTTAATGTCCATCACTCAGTTACCCTATCCACCCACCCTCACCCCCTCAAGCGACCTTCAGTTTGTTTCCTATACTTAAGCGTCTCTTAGGGTTTATCTCCTTCTCTGGTTTTGTCTTGTTTTATTTTTCCCTCCCTTCCCCTATGATCCTCTATTTTGTTTCTTAAATTTCACATGTAAGTGTAATCATATGACAGTTGTCTTTTTCTGGCTGACTTATTTCGTTCAGCATAATTCCTTCCAGTTCTAGCCCCCTTGAGGTAAATGCTAAGATTTCTTCCTTTTTGATGACCAAGTAATATTCTTGTGTGTGTGTGTGTGTGTGTGTGTGTGTGTGTGTGTTTGTGTACACCACATCTTTTTTATCCATTTATCTGTTGTTGGGCATCTGGGCTCTTTCCATAGTTTTGCTATTATGGACATCACTTTTATAAGCATTGAGTGTGCCATTAAGTGTGCTTCTATAAGCAGGTGTGCCTCCAGATCACAACTTTTATATCCTTTGTGTAAATACCTAGTAGTGCTGGATTGTAGGGTAGTTCTATTTTTAACTTTTTGAGGAAGCTCCATACTTGCAAGCAATTATTGTACGTCAATCAACAATGCTTTTCTTTTGCAAAATTGCTTTGAATATTATAGAATTTTGCATTTCCATATAAATTTGAAAGTCACTTCATAAATTTCTCCACAGTCTTTTTTAATGGTTTCCATTTCTCTGTTCTGATTTTGTAACTTTTCATTCATTCCAAACATACTTTTTTTTTTATTATTCAACATAGTCTTTTTAAATTTATATGCTAATTCCAACATCTGGGTTATCTTGGTGTCCATCTCCATTGATTATCTTTTCTCTGAAGAATGAGAACATACTAGTGTTTTTTCACATTGTGAAGTAGTTTAGGATGCACCCTAGAGATTGTAAGTGTTATGTTTGAGAGATTATGGATTCTGTAATGTCCTGGAGTACTTTTCCCCCCCATTTATTCTGCAATTTACTTAGCTGAAATCACACTGCTAAATCTGCCTTTGAATGGTAACTCAATTCTTGGTTGAGTTATTTCATCTTTAAGGGAAATGCTTGGAGTCTACTTCATAAAGACCTTGTTCTAGAAACCTGGACATAGTTCATAACCTCAGTTTGGGTGTCTCCTCCTTTTCTTGTGTCTTCTTGTACAGTGTGTGCTCTCACTTACTATCAGTTGTGGCTGTCCCAAACTTTTTCCTCTGGTCTACCTTTCAAATCAGTAACACAATGCATTTTCTACTGAAGTTTTGGCTACGATTCATGCAACCATTTTGAACTTCCTTCAGTCTAATAGAGTAAATGAGAGGCTTTATTTATTCATGTTACTCATTTTTCCTACTGTAGACTAACTTTCAGAATCTGTCCATTTGGGGTCTTTGGGTAGTCTTTTTTTTTTTTTCCTTTCTTTTACATTTGTTCCAGAGTTTATATTTTCATCTGTAGTGGATCATTCAGAAAGGAGCTAGCTTGGATAATACCAGAAGTCAAATCTCTTTGGGAATTTAGGATTATAAGCAATGAATAATCTGTTTAGATGGCCACTTTTATGTATGCATGTACATATGTATGTATGTACATGCCTTTCTTTATGTAGATTATATACTCTCTAGATCAATCCATGTTGTTGCAAATGTTAAGATTTTATTCTTTTTGTGGATTAGTAATATTCCATTCTGTGTGTGTACCACTTCTCCTTTATCCATTCATTTATCAATGGACAATTGTGTTGCTTCCATAATTGGTTATTATATATAATGCTGCAATAAACATAAGGGAGCATGTATCTTTTTGAATGTATCTTTTTGAATTAGTGGTTTTGTATTCTTTGCATTTTTGTATTCTTTGAGTAAATACCCAGTAGTGGAATTATGGTAATTCTATTTTCAGCTTTTTGAGGAACCTCCATACTATCTTCTGGTGGTTATATCAGTTTGCATTTCCACCAACAATGCATAAGGGTTCCTTTTTCTCCACATTCTTGTCAACACTTGTTTCTTCTGCTTTTGATTTTAGCCATTCTGACATGTGTTAAGTGCTATCTCATTGTAGTTTTTATTTGCATTTCCCTGATGGTTAGTGATGTTGAGGATCTTTTCATGTGTCTGTTGGATATCTGTATGTCTTCTTTGGAGAAATGTTGATTCACATCTTCTGCCCATTTTTTAATTGGATTATCTGGTTTTTGGCATTGAGTTTTATGAATTCTTTATATATATATATATATATAAAATTTAAATTCATTTAATTAACATTTTGTATATTATTAGCTTCAAGGCAGAGGTCAGTGATTCATCATTCTTATATAATACACAGAACTCCTTCCTTAATGTCCACGCTGTTACCCCATCCACCCACCCCCACCCCTCCAGCAACCATCAGTTTGTTTCCTGTGATTAAGGATTTCTTGTGATTTGTCTCCCTCTCTGATTTCTTCTTGTTTTACTTTTCCCACTCTTCTCCCACAATCCCATTTTGTTTCTTAAATTCTGCATATCAGTGAGATCATATGATAACTGTCTTCTCTGACTGACTTATTTCACTTAACATCATACCTTCTAGTTCTATCTACATCATTGCAAATGGCAAGATTTCATTTTTTATGGCTGAATAGTATTCCGTTGTGTGTTGGACATCTGGGGTCTTTCCATAGTTTGGATATTGTGGACATTGCTGCTATAAACACTGGGGTGCAGGTACCCCTTAGTATCATGACATTTGTGATGTTTACTAGGGTAAATCCCTAGTAGTGCAATTTCTTTGTTGTAGGATAGCATTATTTTAAACTTTTTGAGGAACTTCCACACTGTTTTACAGAGTGACTATACCAATTTGCATTCCTACCAACAGCGTAGAAGTGTTCCCCATTCTCCACATCATCACAAACATCTTTCTTTCCTGACTTGTTAATTTTAGCCATTCTAACTGGTGTGAGGTGGTAGGTATCTCAGTATGGTTTCGATTTATATTTCCCTGATGGTGAGTAATGTTGGCATTATTTCATGTACATGTACATATGTCTACTTTGGAGAAATGTCTGTTCATGTCTTCTGGCCATTTCTTAATTGGATTGTTTGTTCTTTGGTTGTTGAGTTTGATAAATTATTTACAGATTTTGGATACTAGCCCTTTATCTGATAAACATTTGCAAATATCTTCTCCAATTCTGTCAGTTTTCTTTTGGTTTTGTTGACTGTTTCCTTTGTTATGGTAAAGTTTTTATCTTGATTAAGTCTCAATAGTTCAGTTTTTCCTTTATTTCCCTTCCCTTGGAGAACTGTCTAGCAAGATGTTGCTGTGGCTGAGGTTGCAGAGGTTGTTGCATATGTTCTCCTCTAGAATTCTGATGGATTCCTGTCTCACATTTAGGTCTTTCATCCATTTTGAGTCTATTTTTGTGTATGGTGTAAAAAATGTTCCAGTTTCATTCTTCTGCGTGTGGCTGTCCAATTTTCCCAATACCATTTGTTGAGGAGACTGTCTTTTTTCCACTATAAATTCTTTTCTGCTTTGTCAAGATTAGTTGACCATAGAATTGAGGGTCCATTTCTGGGTACTCTGTTGTGTTCCATTTATATATGTGTCTGGTTTTGCACTAACACTTTAATATCTTGACAATTACAACCTTTTAATACAGCTTGAAGACTGGAAGTGTGATGCCACAACTCTGGTTTTCTTTTACAACATTCCTTTGGCTATCTGGGACCCTTTCTGGTTCCATAAAATTTTTACAGTTGTTTGTTACAGTTACAGTGGATAATGTTGACAGTATTTTGATAGGAATTGCAATGAATGTATGGATTGCTTTAGGTAGCCTAGACATTTTAACAATACTTACTCTTCCAATCTATGAACATGGAATGTTTTTCCATTTTGTGTCTTCCTCAATTTCTTTCATACGTTTTGTATAGGTTTTGGAATACATTTCCATTACCTCTTTGGTTAGGTGTATTCGTAGGTATCTCATGCTTTTTGGTGCAGTTGTAAATTATATCAATTCCTTGCTTTCTCTTTCCTCTGTCCCATTGTTAGTGTA